CAGGAAATTTACAGAAAAGGTAATACAAATACAAAGATGCTTAATCTCACTATTAATTGAGGAAATAAAAAAAAAGAATCACAATAATGTGATTCCAATCTTTGCCTATGAGAATTTTAGTTTGGAGGACAGTTTGGTAATATCTATTAAATTTTTTTTAAATTTTTATTTATTTAATTAATTTTTTGTGGCAGAGGTAATTAGTTCTACTTATGTATTTATTTTTTGGAGGAGGTACTGGGGATTGAACCCAGGACCCTGTGCATGCTAAGCATGTACTCTACCACTTGTGCTGTACCCTTCCCACTATTAAAAATTTTAAATGCACAAAACCTGTGGCCCACCTCTCAATCTTTACCCTGGAGAACACTTGTGTGTGTGCACAAAGAGGCTCTTGCTACAACATTTTTAATAGTGAAAAATGGGAAAAGTCAACTTCCATCAATAGAAGAATGGTCGCATAATGGGAGGTGTAGATTACTCAACTAAAGAATACTAGGTAACAGTTAAAAAAGTGAGATAGTTCTCTAAGTAGTACATGATAGATCTGCAAGAGGTATGTTTGCGTGAGAGAGGTATGCCTGTCAACAGTATGTATACTGTGACATCATTTATGGGAAAAGTAAAGGGGGAAGGATATTTCCCACAGATCTATATCTATGAATGAATGTAAAGTGAAAAGATTTGGAAGGACAAACACGGAAATGGCAACAGCGTTTATGGCTCAGCAGTTGGGGGAGGGGAATGTAGTAATTGGAAATGGTGTAATAACCTGATCTAGAGGGATCTTTAAAGTGATCTGTGATATTTCACATTGTAACTGACTATACTTTAATAAAAATAAATAAACGGACAAACAAACAAAGTGATCTGTGCTATTTTAATTTCATTTGAAACATATCCAGATGTTAGTTACCTGCATAATTCAAAATTAATTTTTAAAATTTTAAAGAGAGAGAAAACAAGGTCTTTGGGCTGGGTGCAATTGGTGTGTCAGAGGTGTCATTGCCTCTGTCCCCTCCCCAGCTTCCAAAGCCTCCTTCACTCCAACCACACACACACAGGAAGTCTGGCTGCAATTCCAACTGAAACAGTGTTAAGAAAGAATGAACTGTTTTGCAAGCAGTAGCAGAGAGAGCCCGTTATCCCACAGACAGTTGGACTTCACCCTGGGGGTGGGGATGTTTGGGAAGGTCAGTGGGGGAAAGGAAGGTAGGGGTGTGGGTGGGGAGACTCCCTCAAAGGACTGTAGTCTTAGATGTGGCAGTTCCAGCAGTGCCCTCCAGAGGCCACCCCCAGGATGGGGAGCTAGCGGGTTATCTGCGGGACAAGGCTTGTCTGAAATACCTCCTCAGGGAGACATAGTCTCCTTCTGGTTACTCTGCATGCTGAGAAGCCCTTTGAGCCTCAAATACACCTGTGCCAGACCAATAAGGCTTAGATGAGAAATCAGCAGAGGTACAGACGGCCTTGGAGTGACCTCATTTGGGCCATTCTTAGTTGGTCGGAAACAGGGTAAAATCACGGAGCATCTGAAACCTTTGCACACAAATGCGGGCCCACAGCCCAGCAAAAGGCAGGTGGTTTGGGGATTACACAAAGAGAGAATTCTCTCTGCTCCACATGGATAGTGAAAGGCGTTTTAACATCATTCTTTGAAAAAGCTTTTTCAAACTGCCTCATCACCGCCCATGAAAAATCAGGGCATGTCTCCTGACGTTCATGAATCCCTGCAATGCTTCCTGCCTGGCACTTGGCCTCTGGGGCCTGTCCCCTCGGTGCACCTTCCATTCGGCTGCCCAAGTTAGCTTTCCTACTATTTTCTTTATTATTATTATTATTATTATTATTATTATTATTATTATTATTATTATTATTATTATTATTAGTGGAGGTACTGGGAATTGAACTCAGGACCTCCTGCATGCTAAGCATGTGCTCTACCACTGAGCTATACTTTCCCCTAAAGTGAGCATTCTAAAATGGAACCCTGATCATGGGCTTCAAAGACTTCATGGCTCCCCAGAGCCTTCAGGACAAGAATTTCTCAGTGGGTCAGCAAGAGTGTTACATCCTGGGCCTCTGCCTGTCTTCTCAGCCTCATCCTGCCCTACCCTCTCCCCCACGTTGGAAGCATCTGCATGAAGCCCACCTGTGTCAAGGCTTTTGCTGTGTCATTCTCTGGGCCCAGAATGCTCTTCCTCTGTATGTCTACTTGGTCAACTTCTAAACATTTTTCAAGACAGTCTCGAGCACTGATTCCTCAAAAAAGCCTTCTCTAATGCTCACAAGGAATCCTGCACAAGGTCCTTGGGGGTGCCATTGGTCTGCGTGCTCCTGTGCTCACTGAAGACAAGACCTTTGCTCAGTGAAGTGCACCCAAGGGCCAGCACATGTGCAAGAGGTGAGTACACACTAGTTGAATAAAAACCCAAGCTAAAGGTCAGGAATCAGTGCATACAGGCCACTGGGTAAAAAGCACTGGTTTTTAAGTCAAGACCTGATGGCTATATTATTCTGAACTGCGCCACACCGCTGCCCTAGGCAAAGCCACTTCCTTCCCTGGCCTCCGTCTTTCTCATCTGTGCTATGAGGGGCTTGTATTAAATGTCTCTTTCATCTTGAGCTCTGACAATTCCTTTAATAGAGTAAAAGGACCCTAATTGTCAGCGTCGATGAGGGTGATGGGGAACAGGTGCTCCCACGCATGATTGATGGGAGGATGAGGTGAAATCTTCATGAGGCCATTTGACAATTTCTTTAAAAAAGCCCTAAAAATTTGGATGCCCAAACATGTGGCAATTTTACTTCTAGGACTTTTTGCCTAAGGAAATAATTGAAGATGCAACTAGAGATTTAACTGCATGGATAACGATCCTAGTATTGCTTATAATAGTGAAAATAGGAAATGACCCCAGGATTGAACAAGGGAGGATTAGTGATTAAATCATAGTACTTCATACAAAATATTATGCAGACATAAAAATGAAATAAATCTATATTTATTGACGTAGATGTCCAGGCTAAATTAAGTGTTAAAAGTGGATTGTAAAACAATATTTAAAGTATGTTCTTATCACTGATTAAAATACATATTATATCTACATACAGAATATCAAATTATGAAATGAGATTATTGGTGAGTGGTGGGATTATGGGAAATTATCTTCCTTCTTGCTTCTTATTTACGTGAAAGACAACGACAAACCTGGAAAGAAAAAAATTACCCATAAGGTCACTTGATTGTAAATATTTTATTTACTTATTCTCTAACATTTCATGAGTGGAAATATACTCCTTACAGGACTAAAAAAGAAGTATCTTCAAAATCTTATAAAATTCTAGAACCTGATTCACAAAAAGCCACTTGTCCAAGTTCACACAGAGCAAGTCACTGGCAGAGCAAGGCTGGAAGAAAGGCCTCCTCTCTCGTGGGCCCCTAGGCTCTGTTTCCTGGCAGGTGCCAGGATCCCTGGGCACGCTGGGAAGATGTCACTGCCCCTTGTTCCTTGGCCAAGATGTGGTCTGGGCATAGAAGGCAGGAGTGAGTGGCCAGAAGGTGGCTAGAGGTAGGAGGTGTGGTTAGACCAAACAGGACATGGGAGACACAGTTGACACGTGCCCAGCCTGATGAGGGCCCAGGG